AAGGGGACTTCACCCTTTGTGCCGTATTTCCCGGAGAGCAGAAGTCTCGTGTGAATTTAACTGGGAATAAACTTCACTAAAATGACGTGCACGTAGCTCTCTTTTGTAGACAAAAGTTGCCTGATGTATTGGTCAAGGGAACCCAAACTGTATTCCACCCCTACCGGCGAGAGAACATCTCTTCACGTCAGACAAATCAGACCCCGCGGGGATCCACGGTGAGGGGGTTTGGCTGTGTATGAAGGACAGGACAGGGCAGTACACGAGCGAGGAAGAGGATGTGAGCCTGGGTGTTCTGGGCCCCAAGTGGAAGGTCTCATCTGCTGTGCTGTGGGCCAGACACCCAGGGCCGACCCCTGGCCACTCAGCAGGGGATGTGCTGTGGGGAGCTTGTGCAGTGGCGAGTTCCGTGCAGGCATGGCAGGGCTTGTGTGGGGGGGTCTGCAGCTGGATGGTCCTTGAGAGAGGAGCCACGGGGCCAGGCATCAGCACCCCTCCATCTCCTAGTTCCTGGATGCGGCCCCAGGAAGGGGCGTAACCTGGGGACAAACATCCACTTCAGCCAAGGTCAAAGCAGAGGGAGTGGTCCCTGAGGGCTGTGGCCAGCAACGCTCAGCAGCCGCCAGGAGGGGCAGCCGCAGGGGGATTGGAGAAGCGCGTTCTCAGCCTCCCCAGTAGCTGGGACAACAGGCATCCACCACCATGCCCAACTAATTTTTGTATTTTTAGTAGAGTCGGGGTTTTACCATGTTTGCCAGGCTGGTCTCAAGCGCCTGAGCTCAAGTGATCCGCTTGCCTCAGCCTCCCAAAGTGCTGGGATTACAGGCGTGAGACACCATGCCCGGCCTAGGGCTGGATTTTATCTATGGGATTAAAGGGAAAAATGGAATCAGGAAAAGAGTAGGACTAGGTTTGCATTTGCACACTAAACAGATTTGGCCGGGAGGATCTGCCCTGAAGAACAAGGCAGAAGCCGTCAGTTCCGCTGAGGTGCTACGAAAGACTCGGTGTATTTCCCTTCAGATCTCTCTCCTCTCCCAACCGTAAGTCATCTGAGAGGGTCACTCCGTCTCTCCAGTCGCGTGTCCAGGTGACAGACCTCAGGCCCCTTTAGGAAATCCCTAGATGCTCAGGCGTGTGGCTCCAGGGGCGCGGTCAGCCGGGTTGCTGAGTAAACCCGAAGGAAGGTGATGCGTGGAGAGCATGTCCTACTGCTCAGCGGCCGCCGTACAGCACCCAGGCTGCTGGGCCCACCAACATCTGTTCAGCAGTGTCCAAATACTGGCATTTTAACTAGCCACTCACTTTCCTTACTCCTTTTCTTTTTTTTTTTTTTTTTTTTGAGACGGAGTCTCGCTCTGTCGCCCAGGCTGGAGTGCAGTGGCCGGATCTCAGCTCACTGCAAGCTCCGCCTCTCGGGTTCACGCCATTCTCCGGCCTCAGCCTCCCAAGTAGCTGGGACTACAGGCGCCCGCCACCTCGCCCGGCTAGTTTTTTGTATTTCTTAATAGAGACGGGGTTTCACCGTGTTAGCCAGATGGTCTCGATCTCCTGACCTCGTGATCCGCCCGTCTCGGCCTCCCAAAGTGCTGGGATTACAGGCTTGAGCCACCGCGCCCGGCCTCCTTACTCCTTTTCAAATCGATTGTTTCCACCCTTTCCCCTCTCCGCATCGTAGTTTTGTCATCTCCCACATCTGGAGTTGCAAAAAGGCCCTGAGGCAGCCGGGCATGGTGGCTCACGCCTGTAATCCCAGCACTGTGGGAGGCTGAGACGGGTGGATCACAAGGTCAGGGGTTCAAGACCAGCCTGGCCAAGATGTTGAAACCCCGTCTCTACTAAAAATACAAAAATTAGCTAGGCGTGGTGGCGGATGCCTATAATCCCAGCTACTTGGGAAGCTGAGGCAGAGAATTGCTTGAACCCGGGAGGCAGAGGTTGCAGTGAGCCAAGATCGTGCCACTGCACTTCAGCCTGGGCGACAGAGCGAGACTCCGTCTCAAAAAAAAAAAAAAAAGCCCTGAGGCCGTGATGCACATGCTGAGCAGCTGGTCCGCAGGACAGGGGCCTGCAGGACAGGGGACCCGCAGGACAGGGGCCCGCAGGACAGGGGCCCGCAGCAACTCATGGACACTGTGGCCGTGGTCCCCGCTGGAGACACTGCAGCTGGAGGTGGGGTAAGTGGACTCAGCACCTTTGAAGTAGTGTGACTAGAAGACGAGGCTGGCCAACCCCTCTGTGGAAAGCACACAGCCCTCCAGCTGTGGCAATGGGTGTGCAGGCCACAGGTTCACCTTTCCTAAGGCAGGGCTGCGCTACCTTTGCTTGGATTGTGTGAGGTATCATGGTACTGCAGTCAGTTGCCACACTTCTCAAGTGTGCGTGTGGGTAGGGGAGGAGTGGGAGTGAGTGATTCTGGTGATGTCATGCTCAGGTGCATGACAGCTGGTCTCCCCTCATCGAGTTACCACTGTAATCGGACTCCAGGCTTCCACCATCGGCCCTTGAATTTTACACAGGATGGTTGGCCCTGGGAAAAGGAGCCTCTGAAGTTTTAAAATCCAATGTGGCTCCAACATTAAGCTCACACTGGGGACCAGCTCAAAACCCACCCATTTCACATTCCCCAAAACGTTTCACTTGGTGGGCCTGTGATTTAGCTCCCAAGAGGTCACAGATACAAACACAACAAAGCGAGCTATTAGGGCTGGATGTGCTGGACATGCACTCAGTGACGCAGCTGCCCCTCCACCCTGGCCCAGGTCAGGTTCTGCCAACCCCACACGCATACTCTTCGTTAGAAGGGTCCTGATGTGTTTGAGGACCTGTAAGACTGGCATGCACGGCAGACCCCATGAACACCCAGAACGACAGTGAGTAGAGTTGATACGTTGTAACCAGAATGATCCCCAAATATCTTTATTTACTTGGCATTGTACTTCCCAAAGAATATTGCAGCCACTGGGCCTCCCTTCAGAGTGCAGAGAGGCAGCTCCAGGAGCTGAGCCTGCTGGGATGCAACTCCTCCTCCTGGCACCATGGACTCCTTCATCTTTCAGTCAAGGCTGCCAGTGGCCACCACGTGGCCCTCCTGTTCCTGGAGCCCTCAGCTGCATTTGCCACCTGCTCTCTCAATGGACTTTTTGAGATGGAGTCTCACTCTGTCGCCCAGGCTGGAGTGCAGTGGCATGATCTTGGCTCATTGCAACCTCCGCCTCCTGGGCTTAAGCGATTCTCCTGCCTCAGACTCCTGAGAAGCTGGGATTACAGGCGCCCGCTACCATGCCCAGCTAATCTTGGTGGACTTTACACTGGGCACGTGTGCGCTAAGTGCTGACACAAAGGCCAGGCAAGTGTTCCCTGGAGACAGAGGGGTGGAAGGCTAGGTCACAGGCATGGCTGTCAACGGACGCTGCTGTGCACCCATTCTGGCCACAAAGTAGCTTCATGCATCCTCTGCCCGGTAAATGCAGAGAAAACTCGGTTCTACAGGCCCACAGGGAGTGATGGCTGCTGGCCCTGGGAAGGAAGGTGCTCCTTACGGGCACCTGCTGTGAGCCCCTCCTGTCGCCCCACCCCGCCCGGGAGGGTGGAGCTCGTGGTGAGGCAGCCAACGGGACAAGATGCGGGGCCAGGAGGCCTCCTCACCCCCACAGCCTCCTCACCACCACTCTCTCCCCAGGGAGAGACCCCCACACCCCCACAGCCTCCTCACCACCATTCTCTCCCCAGGGAGAGACCCCCACACCCCCACGGCCTCCTCACCACCATTCTCTCCCCAGGCCTCTTCTCTGGGCCTGACCTTCTCCAGCGACCGGGGGAGGCAGGAAGGGAAGCCTGAGAGTTAGAAGGAAAGACAGCTAAGAGCAGCAGCCTGACCGCAGCTGAGCGTGGCCGTGCTCCTCCCTGGGGAAATGCCAAGGGAAGGACCCCCCTGCTCTACCTGGAGACCCAGAGCCCTGCTAAGCAGGGTGGAAAGCCTGGGTGCAGCCTGGGGGGTATCGCGACTGTGGCCCAACCATCCAGTGTGTGAGCCCTGGATGACGGGGCCAAGAGCCAAGGCAGCCCACTTGGACAACTGACCATGATCCGCTGAGGCAGCGCATTGCCCACGTCTCTGCTATTCACGTTTAATCCCGCACAAGCGCATCACAAAGCGACAGCGTCGTGAAGGACTAACAACCAGGCACAGGTGACCCTGGATGCGGCCAGCAGCTTCCTGCAGGGCGCTCAAAACCCAAGTCTTTATGATCCATTGTGTCTACTGCGGAAACATCAGCTGCTCCGTCCCCACCTGCGCTCAAGCACCTGAAGGCCCTTCCAACGGCGCCCACTGGGCAGAGGACAAACCAGACACAAAACACACACGCGCTTTTACCAGCCTGGACTCTGTAAGAGAAAGGCGCCCACATATCCCCCGGGGAGATTTCCACTTATCCTGCAGGGCCCCCACGGCCTCACTGGGCTCTCCCAGGGCCTGCCCTGCAGGGGGAGGTACTTTCCTGCACAGGGTCTGGGGGCCAGGCCAGACGCAAAGGAGCTTCTGCTTCGGGCTGAATCGTCACTCTGAAACTCCCAAGTGGAAGCCCTGGGCCCGATGTGACGGTATAAGGAGGTCTCTGGGAGGTGATTTGGCTTCGATGGGGTCATGGGGTGGGCCCTGCCCATGGAATCTGGGCCCTCACAAGGAAGAGATGACACCAAGGTCCCTCCCCAAATGCGGACACCTCTGAACCAGGAGGCGCTCGCCGGAAACGGACCCTGTTGGCACCTCTACCTCGGACTTCCAGCCTGCAGAGCTGGAGAGCATAAACCCGTGTTCTCCGTGCTGCCGCCTGTGGTGTCCCGGTGAGGCAGCCTTGTAACTCCATGACCGACAGCTGCTCTCTACAATCTTCAGTGAGCACGAAAACACTCATATTCATGCTGTAAATAAAAGATTTGGGGTATTTTCAGACACACCAACCTCCCAGCTTCAACAGCTGTCAACGTTCAGCCAATACCGTTCTTTCTCCTTTTTATTAGAATTTTAAAGCACATCCCAGGCGCCACGTCATTTCCCCACAAACACGTCCAAATGCATCTGAGTGAGGATTCTCAGGTAACCCTGTGTCACCATCACCGCCAACAGCCAATTCCTCACCCCACCCGACTCACAGCCGACCCGCCCGACTCACAGCCAACCCGCCCGACTCACAGCCCACCCGCCCGACTCACAGCCCATCCGCCCGACTCAGTCCACCCGCCCGACTCAGCCCCTGCCCACATTTCCACGATTGTCTGAAAGTGACTTTCCACTTGGTTTGTTCATATCAGGGTCACACACAGCCTGCTCAGCCTTTCTGTGTGCCCGGCTTCCAGCGGAAAGGTTGCCTTCTGGTGGCATCTCCGGCCGGGTCTGGCTCGGGGCTTCCTCTTGGTGTGTTCAACCTTCTCCTGGTTCCCCTGTTTCTTGTAAACTCGTTTCTGATTCCAGCATTACACGTGCATGTGTTGGCTGGAATTTTTTTTTTTTTTGAGACGGAGTTTCAGTCTTGCTCCCCAGGCTGGAATGCAGTGGTGCAACCTTGGCTCACCACAACCTCCACCTCCTGGATTCAAGCAATTGTCCTGCCTCAGCCTCCCGAGTAGCTGGAATTTCAGGCGTGAGCCACCGCACCTGGCCTGGCTGCAATTCTTAAAGAAAAACAGGCAAAAGCAAAAATCCTTCAACAATTCAGCTAACCTGAAACACGGCAGTGTCCCCGATCCATTTCCACAGGGGTCACACTGGCAGATTTTTATTTCTGGCTGGATAGGACACCTTAAGTTTCAAACAAAGAGGTCACCTCTTCCCCATGAAATGCACTATGGTGAATACGGCCACCTCACTGCCCTGAGACCCAACTCGATCTGCCAATTTCAGGTGCGTGACCCAGGCTCTGACCAACAGAGCTGGGTGGGGGCCATCCCTGCAACACTGGGGGTGGCCCTGACCTAACCGGCTGAGCACCACTCCCTAATCCTTGAATACGGCTCGGTATTACAAAGGCTCTTGTTTCTACGGCCCAGTGCAGAGGCTGCAGGAGGGTCTCTGCCTCTGTGCAATGCCTCGCCCAAGACAGAGACGGGAAGGGAAGCCAGACCAGGCAGCAAGCATGGAGTGCAGAGCCAGGGAGGAGAGGCCCAGCAGACAGCGACTCAGGGCCAGGGTGGAGTCCGAGCCAGACAGCTGTGAGCACCCGGCAGGCTTCTCCACCTCTGCGCCTGGCCTGGCATGTGGCTCCGTGGTCGCACATGCTCTCAGCACATCCCCAGGGTGCCCGGCACCGGGGTGCAGCCCCTGCCATCTCCAGAGCCCCCACCATCTCCGGCGTACCCATGGATTCGCTTCTCCCACCTGGCAGTTTTCCCAGTAAAACTTCTCGGGGGACTGGAGAGCTCTGAGGACTGAGAAGGCTTCTTTTCAGGCTGATTTTCCAGGCTGAAGAGCAACTCTCCCTCAGGGCCCAGTACTCCCGCAGAGGTACAGCACCCCAGCTTCGGGGGCCCCTACACCTCCCCGTGCCTGTGAGTTCTTTGATGCCGCGTGAAGAAGCCCAGGTGGCGGAATCCTTTCCCGCAGTGGCCGCACTCGTAGAACCTCTTTGTCAGGTGCAGCCTCCGGTGGATGCTGAAGCCCTTGGGCCACCGGAAGGACTTGCCACACTCGGCACAGGTATAGGGCTTCTCCCCGCTGTGGACCCTCTGATGGTGGCTGAGGTTCTCCTTGGTCCGGAAGGCCTTGCCGCAGTCCGCGCAGTAGAACGGCCGCTCCCCGGTGTGCACCAGCTGGTGTCTGAGAAGGTTGGATTTCTGCTTGAAGGCTTTCCCACAGTCGCCGCACGAGTAGGGCCTGTGTTCGGTGTGGACCTTGCGGTGCTGGGCCAGGCGGTCCTTCAGGCTGAACGCCTGCCCGCATGCCTCGCAGCAGAAGGGCTTCTCGTGCGTGTGGTTCTTCTGGTGACGCTGCAGGTTTGAAGCCCACCGGAAGGTCTGGCCGCACTCGGGGCACTTGAAGGCCTTGGTCCCCGTGTGCACCGTCTGGTGAGCGAGCAGCCGGCTGTGGCAGCTGAGCGCCTTCCCGCACGTGCCGCAGATGAAGGACAGCTCCATTGCGCACTGCTTCCGGTGCTCTCTGCGGCCCGGCCGCTGCCCACAACACTTCGTGAGCATCTGACAAGCAAAAGCCGTGGGCTTGGCGTCTGTCCTTTCTGGAGCAGCTCTGGGAAGCTGCCCGTCATCCGCGTCCGGCCCAAAGCTCTTCCGAAAGCTGCTTCCCTCCCTGGTTCTTTCTCGCCTCACATGGGTTTTCTTATGAGCCCAAGTTGGATGGTCACAGCGTCTCTTGGGGTCTGCAGATTTCCTTGCCCCTGTGGAAGGAACAGATACCCTTACACAGAGGCCAGTGGCCCGTGGCCAGGCAGTGCCTCCTGCTGTGTGCGTCAACTGGCTTCTATCTACTCAGCTCATTCCACGTGGCTACAAGTGATCAGGAAAACTCGTTCAAAGAAACACAGATGAGCCACAAAGATCAATAGCGGAAACCAAGATGAGCTCAGATGGTTCCCCAGCCCCGGTGGCACGCAGGATACCTGGCACTGCTACGTGAGGGAGCACCGACACATGGCTGCCAATCAACAGAAGCAACTGGGCCAAGAGAATGTCCTTTCACCCTGTCCACGCCAGCAAGCCCCACTCATGCAGGTGGAGGTGATAGCAGGATATCATCTGGAAGATGGGTAGCTCCACGTGATTCTCAACCACTCAGCCTCGGAGCCATAGCTCCCTCCAGCTGGATACTCCACAGGCCCAGGGACCCGACACTCCCCAGCCAGGGGCTCCACAGGCCCAGGGACCCGACACTCCCCAGCCAGGGGCTCCACAGGCCCAGGGACCCGACACTCCCCAGCCGGGGGCTCCACAGGCCCAGGGACCCGACACTCCCCAGCCGGGGGCTCCACAGGCCCAGGGACCCTACACCTCCCCAGCCGGGGACTCCACAGGCCCAGGGACCCGCCACTCCCCAGGCGGGGGCTCCACAGGCCCAGGGACTTCCCAGGGCTTGTGTTCTCGTAGCTGCTCCATCCCATTCTGAAAATCTAAGTAAAAAGCAAACCCCCTCTGACCACTGCCTCAAGAGCACCCCTCACCTAATGGAGGGAAGCACGGCCACTGTCCCAGTTTTGCAAACAGGGATGTGGAGCAAACTCCTACCCAGAGCCACATACCTGGAGACCCTCACGTGCAGTCAGTACCAGGCCTGTGGCTGTAGGTCAGACACCTACACCAACGGCCTCCGCCAGACAGCACCTGGGTGGCTAGGTGCAGCCTTCAAGCGTCACTCTGGCCTCAGGCCCCTCCCAAGCTGCAGCTGTACGTCATCCTGCGCCACCGTGCCTTGCGAGCCCCGGCCCCCGGCCAGTGTCCATCAGGGCAGGAGCGTGGCTGCCCCATGTCTCTAAGGCCTAAGTTAGAGAGCGGCTGTGTGTCCACTCTCCCATAGGAAGGACGCACCCTCGGTCACTGCAGTGTGCTGAGCACTCACGCAGGAGCTGTGGCCACAGGGACGGAGCCCCCCGAGCCCAGACAACCCAGCACTCACCTGGCCAGTGGCCCCTCTGCACTGCCTGGAGCTCAGGTCTCTCCCGATCTTCAACCCACGGCTCCTCCCACTGTTCCAGGCGAGAGACGAGGTCTGGTCTGGGGCTGCAAAATCCTTTTCAAAGGAGAGAAAAGGTTCTGTTTTACTTGTACTGATGACAAAGCGAGGGTTGAGGCTCAGAGCAGTTCTGCACTAGCCTAAGAGGCCAGGCAAGCCCAGCCCTCGGGGCGGCCCTGGAGAAGCTACCCTGAAGCAGAGATGACAGGAAGAGAGGGGCCTGGACACCAAGGCCCACGGAAGGCCCTGACAAGGTCAGAGGAAGGAAGATGAGGCTGCCTCCAGGGAGCCTCAGAGAAACGCTGAGTGGGCCCCTCTGTCTACACAGGCCAAGAACTTCCAGCTCCTGAGCCCCCTCGGCTGGGAGGCCCCACGACCATCCTGGACCAGCCAGGCCCGGAGGCAGCGGCAGAGCTCACCCCACGCTCAGCCCGCGCTCACCCCGCAGCACTCGGCCCGCACTCACCCAGCACTCGGCCCGCACTCACCCAGCACTCGGCCCACACTCACCCAGGGCAGCCATACTGCTGAAGTTGTCCAGCATCACGTCCCGGTAGAGGGCCCTCTGGCTGGGTTCCAGACACGCCCACTCCTCCCTTGAGAAGTAGATGGCCACGTCCCTGAAGGTCACCGGCTCCTGCAACACACACAGCTCCCGAAGTGGCCATTCCCAAGAAAAAGAAGGCTCAGCCCACAGGTCTGGGCGGGAAGGGGGAATCAGGGTGGCCCTGCTGTGGAGTGATTGTTTGCGTCCCCTAAATCCATATACTGAAGCCCGGAGCCCTGAGTGGCTGTGTCTGGAGATGGGCCTCTGTGGAAGAGATTAAGGTTAAGTGAGGTCAGAAGGGTGGGGCCCTGACCCATGGGCCCGGTCCTCACAGGAGACTCCAGAGAGCTCCCCAACTCCCTCACCGCACATGCGTCAACACAGCACAACAGTGGCTGTCTGCAAGTAGGCCACTGGCCCCGCCAGAAACCAGATCTGCAGCACTCTGATCTTGGACATCAGCCCTCAGAACAGAGGAAGTGCATGTCTGTAAACTGCCCAGTGTGTTGTACTTGGTTACGGCAGCTCTAGTGGACTAAGACAATCTAGTCTATTTTCCTACAACAGCCACTATTCTCCTAGTGTCAATGAATCCAATTTTCTTTTCTTTCCTTTTTTGAGATGGAGTTTTGCTCTGTCACCAGGCTGTGCAATCTCGGCTCACTGCAAGCTCCGACTCCCAGGTTCAAGCAATTCTCCTGCCTCAGTCTCCCGAGTAGCTGGGACTACAGGCGTCCGCCACCATGCCCAACTAATATTTTGTATTTTTAGTAGAGATGGGGTTTCACCATGTTAGCCAGGATGGTCTCAATCTCCTGACCTCGTGATCCACCCGCCTCGGCCTCCCAAAGTGCTGGGATTACAGGCATGAGGCATTGCACCCGGCCCCAATTTTCTTTTATCTTTCCCCGCCCCTTAAGAGAGAAGGCAAAAGGGCAGACATGGGCACAGTGCCTGGGAAGCCGCTGCCACAGACCCTCCCCGCGTGTGTGCTGGGGTCTCAGGCAGCCGGCAGGGCAGAAGGGAGGCTGCGCTCGGCAGCGGCAGGGCTTACCTGGGCCATGTCCATGGGAACAGCGAGGCCACGCCTCTGGGGAAACACAGCGCCAAGGAGGGCGGATCTGCGGAGACAAGAAATGTAAGCGGGCGTAGCCAGCCCAGGAATGCCCACCCCACCTGACCGCAGGAGCCCCCCACTCAGCAAATCAAGGGGAATTCAGGAAAAATGAGTGATGCACACGCAGGGTCTGCTCTGTAACTACCGACAGCCACCAGGTGTAGGGAAATTTGGCAGTGGTGAGGAGTCAACATATCTTTAAGGGACAGCTGGGTGCGGTGTGCCACCTGCCACACACAAGAACTCTGAAATACCAGACAGCAAGCCAGGCCTGTCACCAGAGGAGGACAGAGGCCAGCCACTGCTGGCTGAAAGCCAACAGCTTAGCTGCAAACACATGACTGGAGAGTCTAACCGCAACTGAGGCGTCTGGGGCTCCTCAGGAGACAGGCGGGCAGCCGTTCCCGCGGCGCTGTGCCCGGAGGATGCTCTCGGGTACGCTACAAGGAGGCCACCTGGCAGCCTTCCCCCAAGTGAAAACCTGGGGGAAGGTTTTCACCCACTGCACTCCAGCCTGGGTGTCAGACTGAGACCCTGTCTCAAAAAAAAAAAAGCCCCGAGAAATCCCATTAATCTTCACTCAGTCTCCAGATCAAGCCACGAGCTCCCCTAAACCTTAGGGTCCGGGCCCACTGAGATCCAGCTTCTACCCCCAGGTCTGTGGAGAACCACCCTGGCATCCCACTGCCCTCCTGCCACAGTGGGTCCTGCCTCCTTCCTGAGTAAAGCTCAGAGCCCCAATATGCAGAAGAGGCCAGCCCCACAGGCGCCCCTGAGAAGAGACAGAACCCGCTGGAGGAAGATGGCCCATGCGTGGTTACCTTGTCCGGGGAGGGGAGGAGATGTTGCTCTAGACCCTACAGACACGGAAGTATCATAAAGGGCTGTCAGGAGCAACTCATGCAAACAGGTTCAGCAACTGAGATGAAACGGACAAACTCCACGAAAAACACAGGACTATGAAACTGACGAAAGGGAAGCCACGCAGCCGCCCATCTGAAGGGAATTGAAAATGTAACTTGAACCCTTCCCATGAGGAAAATACCACACCCAGCTGGGTTCCCTGGTAAGCTCCACCAAAGCCTACGGGAGCACAGTACTGATCTTAGAAGCTATTTAGTGAACAGAGGAAGAGCAGACACTATCCAGTCTGTCTTAATGAGGCCAGGAAAACCCAAACCAAAAACCCGATAGAGATATTACAAGGGGCCAAGCACAGTGGCTCACGCCTATAATCCCAACACTCTAGGAGACTGAGGCAGGAGGACTGTTCGAAGCCAGGAGTTGCCCAACCTGTCTCTATAAAAAATAGAATTAGCGGGGTGCGGCGGTGGACATACGCAGTCCCAGCTACTCAGGAGGCTGAGGTGGGCGTATTGCTTGAATACGGGAGGCACAGGTTGCAGTGAGCTGAGCTCATGCCACTGCACTCCAGCCTAGGTGTCAGACTGAGACCCTGTCTCAAAAAAAAAAAAAAAAAGATATTACAAAAAAATTACCTACCAAACTCTCACAAACACAAATTTTCAAAAAATATTAGGAAGCCAAATCCAGCAGTTTATAAAAAGAATTCTCGGTCATGACCAAGTGACGTGGACCCTAAGAGTACACAGCTGGTTTGATCCCCATTAGCTGCAGCTGGTGCCCAGAAGGCTCCCGCCACCACCTGTGTTCAACACTCACTGCAGGGGGCAGCTCCCTCGGCGTTCACCCCTGCCCCTCGTCCCTCCCACCTCCAGCACAGCAGGTACACAGACCTTCCCTTTCTCCTTCTGACACTCACAGGTGGCCACATTAACTGCTACATGTTTTCAGGAATATACTTTCAACTGGAGATTTTTTTTTCACCTTTCAACAGCATGGCATCAACTTTAATCACGATGACTTCCCGAACATTTGAAAACGACATAACTAACCACATTAACAGAATAAAGGAGAAAACCATATGACAGCTATTATCTCAATAGATGCAGAAAAGGCATTTGTTAAAACTCAAGACCTAATCCCAACAAAAAATCTCAGCAAACAAGGAACAGAAGAAAACTTCCTCATCCTGGCAAACCTGCAACCAACATCCTGCTTCATGGGCCACTATGGAACTCTTTGCCTCTGAGACCAGGAACAAGCAGGGCTCTCTACCCACTGCTTCTCTTTATCACCTTATTGGAGGCCTGAGCCAGTGCAAGGAGGTAGAAAAAATACACAAAGCCATAAGATTACAAATAAAGAAGTAGGTCGGGCGCGGTGGCTTATGCCTAGAATCCCAGCACTTTGGGGCGCCGAGGCGGGTGGATCACCTGAGGTGGGGAGTTTGAGACCAGCCTGGCCAATATGGTGAAACCCCATCTCTACTAAAAATACAAAAAGTAGCCAGGCATGGTGGCAGGCACCTGTCATCCCAGCTACTTGGGAGGCTGAGGCAGGGGAATCGCTTGAACCCGGGACGTGGAGGTTGCGGTGAGCCAAGATCGCACCATTGCACTCCAGCCTCGGCAACAAGAGCGAAACTCCATCTCAAAAAAAAAAAAAAAAATTTCACAAATTGGAGGTAGAAGTTGTAGTGAGCCAAGATTGTGCCACTGCACTCCAGCCTGGGTGACACAGAGAGACTGTCCTCACAACATTGGGGTAGGCAAACATTTCTTTCCTGGATCCCCAAAAGCACTTTAAAAAAATTACAAATTCAGGCTGGGTGCAGTGGCTCACGCCTGTAATCCCAGCACTCTGGGAGGCTGAGGTGGGCGGATCACCTGAGGTGGGGAGTTCGAGACCAGCCTGGCCAACAGGCTCTCTCTTCAATCAAGAAGGGAGAAACCCCTTCTCTACTAAGAATACAAAATTAGCCGGGCGTAGTGGCGCATGCCTGTCATCCCAGCTACTCAGGAGGCTAAGGCAGGAGATTTGCTTGAACCCGGGAGGTGGAAGTTGCGGTGAGCCAAGATCGTACCACTGCACTCCAGTCTGGGCAACAAGAGCAAAACTCTGTCTCAAGAAAGAAAAAAAAAATCACAAATTGGATTTATCAGAATTAAACATTTTTGTTTATCATGGCAGTCAAGAAAAAAAATAAAGGAGACTGGGTGCAGTGGCTCATGCCTGTAATCCCAGCACTTTGGGAAGCTAAGGCAGGAGGATTGATTGAGGCCAGGAGTTTGAGACCAGCCTGGGCAACATAGGGAGACCTCTGTCTCTACTGTTTAATTAAAAAATTTTTTTTAAAAAGGAGACACAAAGGCAAGCCACAGAATAAGAGAAAATATTCCCAATACATGTATCTGACAAAGGACTTATATAAAGAACTGTAACTCCTACAAATCAATAAAAAAGAAAAATAAAATTTAAACTGGGCAAAATATTAGAACAGACACTTCAACCAAAGTGATACAACGGTCTATAAAAACATGAAAAGGCGGCCGGGCGCGGTGGCTCAAGCCTGTAATCCCAGCACTTTGGGAGGCCGAGACGGGCGGATCACGAGGTCAGGAGATCGAGACCATCCTGGCTAACACGGTGAAACCCCGTCTCTATTAAGAAATACAAAAAACTAGCCGGGCGAGGTGGCAGGCACCTGTAGTCCCAGCTACTCAGGAGGCTGAGGCCGGAGAATGGCGTAAACCCGGGAGGCGGAGCTTGCAGTGAGCTGAGATCCGGCCACTGCACTCCAGCCTGGGTGACAGAGCGAGACTCCGTCTCAAAAAAAAAAAAAAAAAAAAAAACATGAAAAGGCACATTGAGCACACGGGTCATGGGTGGTGTTTTCCAATCAAACGACTTGCTGAGTTCCTCTAGCAAGTAGCAATGACCACAGTGATAAAAATAACAGCTCCCGGCCAGGTGCAGTGGCTCACGCCTGTAATCTCAGCACTTTGGGAGGCCACGGCAGGTGGATCACCTGAGGTCAGGAGTTTGAGACCAGCCTGGCTAACATGGTGAAACTCCGTCTCTACAACAAGTGCAAAAAATTAGCCAGGCTACTCAGGAGGCTGAAGCAGGAGAACTCCTTGAACCAGGGAGGCGGAGGTTGCAGTGAGCCAAGATTGTGCCACTGCACTTCAGCCTGGGGGACAGAGCAAGATTCTGTCTCAAACAAAAACAAAAACACCAGCTCCCCTCAGCTGAACAGCTGTGTTTGCACTACAACCTGGGCTGGGCTTCCCAGCCTGGAAAGCAGAGTCGGGGAGAACCGTGAGATAGGCCAGAAAAGGGGCTAAGGCCAGATTATTCAAGGCATCCTGAGCCATGGTTTCATGTGTAATGCGACAGAAGTTTAATACAGGAGAACAGAAGGATACTGTCATAGCTGCTTCTTTTCCCCCTAGGCAAATTAACACAGGATTTTTTTTTCTGAGGCAGGGTCTTGCTCTGTCACCCAGGCTGGAGTGTGGTAGCCCAGTCACAGCTCACTGCAGCCTCGACCTCCTGGGCTCAAGTAATCCTCCCACCTCAGTTTCCCCAGTAGCTGGAACCAAAATCGCATGCGCCACCATGTCCTGCAATTGTTTAAATTTTTTGCAGAGAGGGGATCTCACTATATTGCCCAGACCGATCTCAAACTCCTGGCCTCAAGAGATCCCCTGGCCTCGGCCTCCCAAAGTGCTGGGGTTACAGGCGTCAGCCACAGCATCCGGCCTAAGCTACATTTTTAAAATTTATTATTATTATTATTATTATTTTAATGAGATGGAGTCTCGCTCTGTTGCCCAGGCTCGAGTGCAGTGGCGCGATCTCCGCTCACTGCAACCTCTGTCTCCCAGGTTCAAACGATTCTCTTGCCTCAGCCTCCCCAGAGTAACTGGGATTACAGGTGCACACCACCACACCCGGCTAAATTTTTGTATTTTTTGTAGAGGCGGGGTTTCACCATGCTGGCCAAGTTGGTCTCGAACTCCTGGACTCAATGATCCACCTGCCTCGGCCTCCCAAGTGCTGAGATTACAGGCGGGAGTCACCTCTCCTGGCTAAGCTACATTTTTAAAAAGATCCTCTGTGATGAACAAATGAGAAAGCAGCAAAACAGGATGGGGGTGGGGAGAAGATAGGGAGGCGATCAGGTGAGAGAGGAAGAGCCAGGATTGGGACTTACAGGGTGGGAATGGCAAGGAGGCAAATGGTTCAGTTATGGAGCTAACGCACCAATGACCGACTGTGCGGCTGGGCGTGGGCAGGAAAGGGGAAGAAGTGAATCTCGGGTTTCTGCCTCCTCCCCTTCGCGGTGGAATGCCTGGGAGGACCAGTGGGTGGGGGGTGGACGTTACAGGAGCTCAGGCTGGGGCAGGGGAGCTTTGAGTGTTATGAACTAAGTCTAAGCGCTTGGGTCTCACCGGAGCGGTGCGGGCTGGAGACAACAGGTGTGGAAAGTGTCTATGGGGGATAATGCGGTCACGATAGTGGACGGGGTCAGCCGGGGAGAAACCAGCTTCAAGAGGATACACAACCGGGTCCTGACAAACCTGCAAGTGTAAGGGGCGAGGAGAGAAGAGGAGGCTGAGCCGGAATAAGCCGAAGAACAGCCCCCGAATAGCCGGGGTCACAGGCAGCCTCCCGGGTCTGTCCCAGCGCCTCCACGCTGGGTTTCACAGCCCTGGGGCGGCCGCAGATTTAGAAGGTCAGACAGCCCACGACCCAGGGATGGAGGGGCGGCGGGGACACGGTCGCACTCACCACCAGGGCGTCCTCAACAAGGATGCTGCATCCGCTACGCCGCGCCGGTAGCCCAGACTTCTACAAACTTCCCCAGCGGAAGTTGTTATCCGACAGCTTCCGGCCCCTCTAGGAGCCCACGTCTCGGTGGTGCGCGCAGGCCGCCCAGGCCGTCCAGGCCGCCCGCCTCGCCCCGCCCCGCCTGTGGCTCCGCCCCGGCCAGCAGGCCCCTCCCCATCACAGCCAAACGCCACCACGACCGGCTGATTTTTTTGTTTTTTTTAGTAGAGACGGGAGTTTCACCATGTTGGCCAGGCTGGTTTTGAACTCCGACCTCAGGTGATCCGCCTGCCTTGGCCTCCCAAAGTGCTGGGGTTACTGGCGTGAGCCACGGAGCCCGGCCCTCCTAACCTAAAGTCGGCCTAAAGGTTTCTCCTACAAAGTGAACTGTAACCTAACTGGAGGTGTGAACAGACTTGTCACTTGCTCTGGTACCAGTCACTCAGTTCCAGCCAATCAAGGGTGTAGGGTCCAGCCCTATGGGGCTAAGCGAGTGTTCTCCCCGTGTGCGGAGACGAGAGATTGTAATAAACAAAGACACAAGACAAAGAGATAAAGAGAAAACAGCTGGACCGAGGGGACCACTACCATCAAGACGCGGAGACTGTTAGTGGCCCCCAAGGGCTGGGCACGCTGATATTTATCGCATACAAGACAATGCAGGATGTGCAGCCCAGGCCCAAGGGCGCTGGCGCAGGGCCCCATCATGTGCAGGGGACTCTACCAGCTAGTAGGTGGTGCCAAACAAGTGTTTGGGCCCTGACTGTGGAGGCCAAGGTGTTTATGAGACTGGCGCTGCCCATCGTGACTGGGTGCTGTTGGAGCTACCAGTCGCACATCCAAGGGGCCAGCAGTTTACTGGGAGATGGAAGTGGAGTCTAGGATTGGGCTTGGGCAGGTCCAGAAGACACAAGGATGGCCCAGGTCCCCGTGCCACCCTCTGTCTTCTGGGCCTCTCCCCAAGCCCACGCCTGTGGCTCCATGGAGAGGTCCCTGAGCCCTGCTGCAGGAGACCGGTAGTCTCATACCTGGCTTATGGAGGGGCCCGGTGTGCTCTGAGGCCCTCCAGACAGAGCAGGGCTCCTGTGGCGAGGCAGTCGGTGAAGTGCAGCTCCGGCCCACCTCACAGTGGCCCAGCGGGTCCCCAAACCAAAAGCCAATGCTAGAGCTCCAGAGCCTAGAAGCCACGCCCTGTAGCGCAGTCTTCACCTGTTGGGAACAGCCCCCCAAAATCTGGCCATAAGCTGGCCCCAAAACTGGCCATAAACAAAATCTCTGCAGCACTGTGACATGTTCGTGATGGCCATGACGCCTACGCTGGAAGGTTGTGGGTTTACCAGAATGAGGGCAAGGAACACCTGGCCCGCCCAGGGCGGAAAACCACTTAAAAGTATTCTTAAACCACAAACAATAGCATGAGCGATCTGTGCCTTAAAGACATGCTCCTGCTGCAGATAACTAGCCAAACCCATCCCTTTATTTTGGCCCATGTTTCCCATAAGGGATACTTTTAGTTAATCTATTATCTATAGAAACAATGCTAATGACTGGCTTGCTGTTAATAAATACGTGGGTAAACCTCTGTTCACAGTTCTCAGCTCTGAAGGCTGTGAGACTCCCTCATTTCCCACTTCACTTCCCTATATTTCTGCATGTGTGTCTTTAATTTCTCTAGTGCCCCTGGGTTAGCGTCTCCCTGACTGAACTGGTCTTGGCAAGTGGCGTCCATCGTGGGAGCTCCAATCCAGGTGGAAGGGTTGCCGGAGTGATGGCTGGAGAACGTGGAACTAAGCTGGAGGACACCCGAGTACTCTTAAAGCAATGCCCGTGGTGAGTAAGAAGGGGCGCTTGGGAGCATCAGGGTAACAATGGGACAAGTGTGGGGTCTGGTTCATTCCACCTTGGAGCTTTTTCACACTGATGAGGAGGAAGGAGGGTATAACGAAGTAACAGAAGAGGGTACAGAGCAGGTTTATTTGCAGCTAAAGCTAAAGCAGCAAAGGAGGGAGAGGTTCATCCCTACCCTTCTGCACCCCTCATTATTATTTTGAAGAAAAAGAGTGGCCTGACCCTCCAGCTCTTTCTTTTCTGGAGGACACTGGGAGAAAAGTAGTTGCCCCAGTGACTGTTCGAGCAGTGCCTGGAGTGACTGCTCTTAGTTCTATTCAGGCAGGAATTTAGCAAGCTAGATGAGAGGGTGATTTAGAGGCTTGGCAGTTCCCTGTTAGAATACACCCCCCAGATCAGCAGGGAAATATTATAGCTACATTTGGGCCTTTTCCTTTAAAATTCAGAAAAGCACATTTAGTTGATTATATCAACTCCTGTGATGGTGTCAGAGGTAATCTGCACAAGCCTACTCTGCTAGCACAGGCAATGGCAGGACTGAGAGTGGATAAAGGAAATACTCCATTTCCTGGAGCTTGTTTTAACTGTGGGAAGCATGGTCATACTAAAAAAGAATGTAGAAAAAAATCAGTGAGTCAGGCCGCCAGGTAGGGGAAAAAAGGAAACTGCTGAGCCTGAAATATGTCCAAAATGTAAAAAAAGGAAAACACTGGGCTAGTCAGTGTCACTCTAAGTTTGATAAAGGTGAGAACCTGATTTCGGGAAACGCCATGAGGGGCCCATCCCAGGCCCCATTCTAAACAGGGGCATTTCCAGTTCAGGCCATTCCCTCAGCCCTGTAAGATGTCTGTGCCCGCCACAGCCGAGAGCGCCGCAGTAGATTTATGCTGCACAAAAGCTGTGAGCCTTCTGCCGGGGAACCCCCACAAAAGGTCCCAGCAGGAGTCTGTGGACCCTTCCCAGCAGGGATGATAGGATTACTTCTAGGAAGGTCTAGTTTAAGTTTAAAAGGGGTACAAATACATACAAGAGTCATTGATTCAGATTATAACGGGGAAATTCAAATTGTTATATCTACTTCTGTTCCCTGGAAAGCAGAGCCAGGAGAGTGCATAGCACAGCTCCTGATTGTGCCGTATTTGGGAATGGGAAAAAGTGAAATTAAATGAACAGGAGGATTTGGCAGCACAAATAAACAAGGCAAAGTAGCTTATTGGGTAAATCAAATCACTGATAAATGTTCTACCTGTGAGGCTGGGCACGGTGGCTCATGCCTGTAATCCCAGCACTTTGGGAGGCCGAGATGGTAGGATCACAAGGTCAGGAGATCGAGACCATCCTGGCTAACACAGTGAAACCCCGTCTCTACTAAAAAATACAAAAAACTATCTGGGCGAGGTGACGGGCGCCTGTAGTCCCAGCTCCTCAGGAGGCTGAGGCAGGAGAATGGTGTAAACCCGGGAGACAAAGCTTGCAGTGAGCTGAGATCCGGCCACTGCACTCCAGCCTGGGCGACAGAGCGAGACTCCGTCTCAAAAAAAAAAAAAAAAAAAAAAATGTTCTACCTGTGAAATAACTACTCAGGGAAAGAAATTTAAAGGTTCGGTAGATACAGGAGCAGATATTTCAATCATCTCTCTACAGCACTGGCCGTCTGCGTGGCCAATTCAACCTGCTCAATTTAACATAGTTGGAGTTGGTAAAACCCCTGAAGTGTATCAAAGTAGTTGTATTTTGCACTGTGAAGGGCCCGATGGACAACCTGGGACTATTCAACCAATTATAACTTCTGTACCTATAAATTTATGGGGGAGAGATTTATTACAACAATGGGGAGCACAAGTTCTAATTGCAGAACAATTATGTATTCCTCAAAGTCAACATACGATGTATGAAATGGGGTATGTCCCTCGTATGGGACTAGAAAAAAATTTGCAAGGTTTAAAAGAACAGCTTCAAGCAGAAAGACAAAGTTCCCGCCAAAGATTAGGATATCATTTTTGATGGTGGACATTGTTAAGCCTCCAGAACTTGTACTTTTAAAATGGTTAACAGATACGCCAATTTGGATAGAACAATGGCCGCTAAGTAAAGAGAAACTGGAGGCATTAGAGGAATTAGTTACTGAACAATTAGGAAATGGGCACAGAGGCGGGGCGCGGTGGCTCAAGCCTGTAATCCCAGCACTTTGGGAGGCCGAGACAGGCGGATCACGAGGTCAGGAGATCGAGACCATCCTGGCTAACCCGGTGAAACCCCGTCTCTAGTAAAAAATACAAAACACTAGCCAGGCGAGGTGGCGGGCGCCTGTAGTCCCAGCTACTCGGGAGGCTGAGGCAGGAGAATGGCGTAAACCTGGGAGGCAGAGCTTGTAGTGAGCCGAGATCCAGCCACTGCACTCCAGCCTGGGCAACAGAGCAAGACTCTGTCTCAAAAAAAAAAAAAAAAAAAAAAAAAAAAAAGGAAATGGGCACAGAGCTCCAACATGTTCCCCTTGGAATTCTCCAGTTTTCGTAATTAAGAAAAAATCAGGTAAATGGAGAATGTTAACTGACTTAAGAGCCATCAATTCCGTTATACAACCTACGGGAGCATTACAGCCAGGATTGCCTTCTCCTGCTATAATTCCAAAAAATTGGCCTTTAAAAGTCACAGATTTAAAAGACTGTTTTTACTATCCCCTTAGCTGAGCAAGACTGTGAACGGTTTGCATTTACAATTCCTGCAGTAAACAACCTGCAGCCTGCTAAGCATTTTCATTGTTTCATAGATGGGTCTAGAAATTGTAAAGCTTATTGTTCTGGTTTGAAAAGTAAAGTATTCCAGATGCCTTATACTTCAGCTCAAAAAGCAGAGCTTGTAGCTGTTAATTGAGATATTGACTGCTTTTGATATGCCCATTAATGTGATTTCTGATTCTTCATATGTGGTTCACTCCACACAGTTAATTAAAAATGCTCAGTTACTATTTCATGCAGATAAACAACTGATGACAAAAACAAAAAAGGGGGAGAAATAGGGATTATGGGACAGCCCATACACAATTGAATCTAGCATTATTAACTGTCAATTTTTCGAGCCTGCCCAAAGGTCAGATGTTAGCAGCAGCTGAACAGCATCTACAGAAACCAGCTGCAAAGACAGAAGCGGAACAATTGATTTGGTGGAGAGATCTAATAACAAAAAGTTAGGAAATAGGTAAAATAATAACTTGGGGTAGAGGTT